AAACTTTCTAAGGAAAATTCCATTTGTTACAGATTCACAAGAAGATTGGCCCAAGACCCAGAGGCTGAGACCAGTGCAGACATCTTTTAACACAAAACCCACACACGTACAACCTCCCAAGATCAGAGCTTTCAAACATCAGAATTACCTGGGAGCATTTTTTTTTTAGGTTTTTTTTTTTTAATGGGGTAAAATTTATTTGACATAAAATTAACCATTAACCATTTTGATGTGTACAACTCAATGGCATTTAGTACATTCACAGTGTTGTACAACCATTACCTCTACCTATTTCCAAGACATTTCATCACTCAAAAGAACACTCTTTATCCATTAAGAAATCACATGGGGGAGCATTTTGAAAGTACATATTCCAAGGCTCCATGCCAAAAGATTGTAATTCTGTGGGCATGGTAATATTTTTCAAAACTTTTCCGATATCTCTATCCTACCTATTTACCCAAGATAAGTGAAAACATGTTCACACAATGAGCTATAGATGCAAGGTTACAATGGCTTCATTTATAATCATCCAAACCTGGGATTAACCCATATGTCTCTCAATGGGGTAATATATTAGCAAACTGATACTACATGTAATGGAATAGTCCTCAGCAATCAAAAGAAACAAACACAACAAGGATGAATCTCCAGTTCATTATACAAAGGGATGGAATCCATTTTCCATACTGTATTTCATTTAAACAACATTCTGAAAATTATAAAACTGTAGTGACAGAGCACAGGTTAGTCGGTTTCTAGGATTAAAGGGTTAGAGTTGGGTTTTGAGTACAAAGGGGTTGTCCGGGAAGTTTTTGGAGGAGTGATGGAACTGTTCTACATCTTGATTACAGTGGTAGTAATAAGCATTTGTCAAAACTCATAGGACTTGACCCTCAAAAGATTGAATTTTACTAGGTTTAAAAATTTTAAAATTTTAGGCATCTCTGTGTGTTTCTGATGGGCAGCCCATTTGGAAAACCAGTGCATGGATAAGGCTGCACAACCTGGTTATTCTGTCACCCAGTCAGGTCACCCTCTAGATGCTTGGGACCCATTGATTTATCGCTACTATTTCTCTAGTTATCACCACATTTGGAGATTTTCCGCAGGCTATAAGTACAAAAGTAAACTGCCTCACCTTGACACCACACATATGTTATGTACTTGAGTACACGACAGACCCCAGGGCAGGGCCACACAGTCAGTCACTGTGTTCTAGTGTTTGTCAAACTGAAATCACCACACCAAATGTGGTGACTCTAGAACTTTCTTTAAAATGAGTTATACCTTATCTCTTCATCAAGTTAACCATAACCAGATTAACATGGAAGTCATTTCCATTGATGAGTATCAGAATGCAGTCTGTGAACTTACCACAAAATATCGTGTTAAACAATTAAAACATGCGTAACAAAATGTGTGTAACAACTGAAACATGTCTAGTAAAACATATTAAGCAACTGATTTTTAAGATCAATGCTGCTATGGCTTGAATATTTACCCCTTCTGAAACTCACGTTGAAACTTAATCCCCAAAGTGGCAGTATTGAGAGGTGGGACCTTTAAGAGGTGATTGGGTCATGAGGGATGTGCCCTCATGAGTGGATTAATCCATTCGTGGATGAATAGGTTAATGAATTAATGGGTTAATGGATCAATGGGTTATAACAGGAGTGCGACTGGTAGCTTTATATTAAGAGGAAGAGGAGCTAGCTTGCTCAGCCCCTGTTCTACCTTAGGATTCTGCAGAGTCCCCACCAGCAAGAAGGCTCTCCCTAGATTCAGCCCCTCGACCTTGAACTTTGCACCCTTCATAACTATAAGAAATAAATTCCTTTTCTTTAAAAATTACCCAACTTCAGGCATTCTGTTATTCACTATAGAAAACAGACTAAGACAAACTCCCACCCAAAAACCAGCAGTTTTTACATGATAAACTTAATGATCCTAAACAACTCCAGTGTAGGTCATTTTGGTTTTCTTAAAATTTGATACCTATCTTACAGAAAAGAAAAGACATTTACTTGACCAGGATCCAACATGAGTCAATAGTATATTTTATAGCAGACTCCTCACAGAATCCCAGGTCCCTTTATTTGTGAAAAAAATATTTTTTTTTGGAGACAGAGTCTCACTCTGTTGCCCGGACTAGAATGCCATGGTGTCAGCCTAGCTCACAGCAACCTCAAACTCCTGGGCTTAAGCAATCCTTCTGCCTCAGCCTCCGAGTAGCTGGGACTACAGGCATGTGCCACCATGCCTAGCTAAGTTTTTTCTATATATTATTTTAGTTGGCCAATTAATTTCTATTTTTAGTAGAGACGGGGTCTCGGTATTGCTCAGGCTGGTCTCGAACTCCTGACCTTGAGCGATCCTCCCGCCTCGGCCTCCCAGAGTTCTAGGATTACAGGCGTAAGCCACCACACCTCACCTATTTGTGAAAACTTTTAACTATGGAAAACATAAAAATAGTGTGCAGATGTTTATGTGCATAACTAGCCTCATTAATTATCACTCTAACCTTGTGTTCAAGCTCACTTAAAAAAAAAAAAAAAAAAACCATATCCTGCTGTGGCTGATCATTCACTCAAACAACACATCTAAAATTCAAATAGAACCCCACATAAGAAGAAGAAAAGAGACTAGAGGTAGGCAATTTTCGATTGGAGATAAGGATAATTCAACTGTGGAACAAAGGAAACAAATACCACATCCCCGTGCAGTGAGGTAGATCTATCTGATGTTTCTACCTCTACTGTATAGTTTCTAATTTGCAATTCTTTTTGTTCCTCCTAGTCTCAAACTATTTCTGTTAAGATTATGGCTTTGCTTCCTCCTCACTTATCAAACCATAGCTACAATCTTTCTCGAGACTCTTGCTGCTTTTTTTAGAGCTACTTGTGCCTGAGAGGAAATGGAGCTATAAGTATTTCCTTCCATCAATACTGGCACTTTTTTGTCGTGGGGAGTAGCCAAGGGCTCATAGTTTGCTCCAGACAGCTGGAGATAGCACTGAGTTTTCCTATAAGCCTCTCTCCTACAGTCCTTGTGTTATAAATTATTTATACATTTTATCGCAACCTCCAGGAAGCAAGCTGGGCAAATTCTCCAGATGCCTGGTGGCTCAGCAGACTGTTGGGATGTTGCTGCTCTATTGCATGTTCCTATTTCTGTTACCTATTGGGATATGTTGCCTCATAGCCAATACATCCAACTAGAAAATGAATATAAAGCTCATCATTTCACAGGTTCCCAAGCTAATGTTCCTCTCCCATAGAGGAACACACGAGAAAGGAAAAAAGTAATCTGACCCTGTCTCAAGCTTAGAAAAGTGACAGCAGTCCTCCAACTTTCCCATCTAAGCGCCTCTAGGTAGGAAGGAGTACATACAGCCCCGGGGACCGGAGCATACCCAGACATTCTTTAAATAAATTACAGCCTTCCATATCTGTGTGTTCTGCAGCCTTGGATCAACCAACTGTGGATCAAAATATTTTTTAAAAAATTGATGGTTGCATCTGTGCTGAACATGTACAGACTTTTTTCTTGTCATTCTCTATAGAATAATAATTTGTATATTTTACATTATTAGTACTAAAGTAATCTAGAGATGATTTCAAATGAATGGAGGAAGTGGGCATGGTAGTCATGCCTGTAATCCCAGCAATTCAGGCGGCTGAGGTGGGAGGATCGCTCAAGCCCAGGATGAGGAGCCTGCAGTGAGCTATGAGCACGCCACTGGACTCTAGCCTGGGTGACAGAGCGAGACCCTATCTCTAAAATCAATGAATAAAGTATATGGGAGAATCTGCGTAGGTGCTATGCAAATACTACACTTTATGTCAAGGACTTGAGCATCTGTGGATTTTGTTATTCACAGGAGGTTCTGGAACCAATCCCCCATGGACATCAAGGGAAGACTGTATATCTAGGGTTTAAAATAAAAATAATGGGAAATTTGTACTATTTTGATAGTAAATAAATGACTCTTTAGGAAAGTTGCCACGTTTATTATATGAATTGCAATTCTTTTAGTTGTAAGTGACAGACTATATTTGAAGTAGCTTAGAGAAAAAAGGTCATCTATTGGTTCATATAACTAGAAAGGACAAGGAAAAGGGTGATTAAAGGGCTTGAAATCTCTGCTTCTCATTTCTGCTATTCTCCATGAGTCAAGGGCTTGGGTACCATAATCAATTTCACCAGAAAAGAGAAAAGACTTAATGTAACACACATATGCACCAATCATGTTTAGAAGATTCTGACTGCATATTAGAACAGTAGGGTGCCAAGGAACCATTCCCCAAAAGGAGGATAGACATGGCCTCTGGGGGAATTTTCTGAGCTAAGAACGGAGTATTTTTATTTTGAGGCTTCTTGTATTTCCAGGCATAAGGCCTCACAGTTCCAAGAATATATTTACATCAGTTTGAGAAACACAGACATATGTTATATGTTACGTAGACCTCAGAGGGCCTCAAATTTGATGTCCTGTGAAGAAATCTCTAGTAAAGAATTTTGTTCTGCTAAGACATTTAGATAGACAGTGAGAGTTTCAGGAGCCTGTGGGAGACAAGACAATGACAGAGAATTAAAAACCCTCTGTAAGAAAAAATTAACAGGAATGTTACCATATGGGAAGAAAGAAAAAGAAGGAAGAAATAATAGTGTATAATAATAGTGGAAGAGTTGGCCTAAGTCTAGGAATTACATTTAAAATCCATAGTAGTAAGAACACCAAGGAATTCTTAAGAACCGGGAGATGAAATGCTAAATTTGAAGCTGTTTGTGTTGCTGCAGAATAAATTATGTGGCAGAGACAGATTACAAAACCTGTTTCTTCCTGGCTTTAAAACTAGACATTTCCCAGGCTCCTTTGCAGTTATGTATAGTCATGTGACCACTGGTCAACGGGATGTGGGGGCAGAGTGTGCCACTCTAGGCCTGGCCAATGTAACTCCCACATTATCCTCTGCACTGTCTTCCCTCTCCTGCAGAGGACCAAGTAGAGGATCCATGACCCTAGAAGATCCTGAAGCCGCTAGAGAGGAGCCTCAGTCTGTGAAGGACTGTATGGATCAGGCCCATTCGGATCCCCATTGGACTGTGATGTGAGTAAAAAACAATCCTGCTGTTGTTATTGCAGTAGGATTCATTTGTTACAGTGGTTGACTTATCCTGATACAAACTTCTTCTTCACCTCATCCCCTCTCAAAGCTTCAAACAATTCTGCCACACCAAATGTCCTATAAGAACTCTGGCAATCAAAAGAAAAGACTTAAAGGAGGATGAGTTTCATATATAGGTTAACATGGCATGAAACAGATACCCCATTTATAGAAAGGCGACGTATTCCATGTTCTGAATCCATTTGCAAAAGCAAGAGTTCAAGGCCAGAGGTTACTATGAAGGAGGTTTCAGGAAACCTTATCTAAATCTGAAGGAGCCATTGACTCCCAAACAACATACAGATTTCACTGTTATTGTTATGTGGTTCAGGGTGCTATGAGTGAAAAAGGGATGAAGATTTTAAAACTCTTGTGAACACACAAATCCTAAAGTAATATTTAAATCACTTGGATGCTTAAATAATTGTTTTACTCTGAAAATTATCCTTAATGGGGTCTGCTTAACTGGCAGTGAAAAGAGTAGCCAGGATCTATGTTTCCCCGGGTGTCCTTCTCCTAAATTAGACACCCTCCATCTTTGCTGTTTTCCTTTAAGACATTAATGAAATGTTCATTATGACATATAATTTTTTAGGTGTGTTTCTCCTACTAAACTCTAGCCTCAGTAAGGATAAGGGCTGTGTTTGTTTTCTCCTCCACTGTATACCTGGCACCTAGCACAGTGTCTCTTCCACACTCCATGGATATGTGTTGAAATTTAATCAAATATGTAGGTGAGGGAACCTCAAACAGTTACCTGTTGGCCTGAGAGAATTCTCTTCCTGATACAGTTTTGACCAACCAGATTTTTTAAAACTATCTGATCATTTGAAAATACATTATTACCTTTCTTTATACAAAGACTATATGGCATTTATCATATATGCCTGTAAGTTCTCACACATGAATTTTACAACAGCTACAGCTATGTAGATTTGTTTGTTTGCTTTTTTTTTTAGAGATAACATCTGCTTCTTCCTAGAAAACACACAAATCTTTTTTCCATGTGTTACCGCCTAGATTGAGTTTGGAACTAAAAGTGCTTCTCTCCCCTCAGTCCAGGCAGCGGCAATGTTAAGTAAATAGCCTTCCTGGCTGAACCTCAGCTGACCTGCCTACTGGAACCTTCCTTATCAGAGTTCCTGGAATGATCACTTTTGTTTTTTAAGAACAAGACATTGAAAGAGCATGGTGGTATCCTTTTTCTGATTGCTTTGTACAAGTCTGGCGGTTCTTCCTCAAATAGAGCCCCTTAGATTCATACTTATACTTCCCTCACCATGTCCCTCCCTCCCCCAGCCATTAGAAATTCAGAAGTGCAAACTTCTTCCTTAATATTTTCTTAGCAGTTTTTCATAGTATTGTGCAAATTGAGGGTGAATATATACTTACCTCCTTTTTTGGCAGATTCAGCAAATACCTAAAGGATTTCTTTTTTTCTTTCATTCTGAGAATTTCATTAGGATTATTTATTTATTTATTTATTTATTTATTTATTTATTTATTTATTTATTTTTGAGTCAGAGTCTCACTGCTGCTCAGGCTAGAGTGCCGTGGCATCAGCCTAGCTCACAGCAACCTCAAACTCTTGGGATCAAGTGATCCTCCTGCCTCGCTCTTGCTCAGGCTGGTTTCGAACTCCTGACCTTGAGCAATCCTCCTGCCTCAGCCTCCCAGAGTGCTAGGATTATAGGTGTGAGCCACTGCGCCTGACCTCATTAGGATTATTGTTGTCTCTTAGAAGAGTAGAAAGGATAAAGAATAAATTCCACACCAACCTTTCCCAGAAAGTAACATTCTGGGACTTTGAGACTAGGTCACAAGAAGCCTAGCAGCTGCCACCTGGGTCTCTTTGAACATTCTTTTTTAATTAATTATTTTTAGATACAGGGTCTCATTCTGTTGCCCAGGCTGGAGTGCAGTGATGCCATCATACATCACTGGAGCCTCAAACTCCTGGCCTCAAGCACTCCTCCTGCCTCTGCTTCCCAAAGTGCGGGGATTATAGATGTGAGCCATTGCACCTGGCCCTGAACATCCTATACTCCCTAGGAGTCCTGAGCTGCCACGTAATAAATCTGACTACTCTGAGACCACCAGGCTAGAGAGGTACCCTCGTTGACAGTACTAGCTGAGCCCAGGCTTCTAACCTACCCTGTCAAAATGCCAGACATGCAAGCAAAGCCATCGTGGACTCTCCAGACCAGCCCATCCAATAGTTGAATGCCACCAAGTGACTTGGTTGACACTACACAGAGAAGAAATGCCTAGCCAAGCCCCACCCAAATGCCTGACACACAAAACTATAAGATATAATAAAATGCTGTGTAACACAGCAATCAATAACCAGAACAGAAAAAAACAAAACTATTATTCAGTATTCTAATAATCAATTGTATAATAATCAAGAGGAATAAGGCATTTCCTCACATAAGAAATACAGTCTCATTTAAACCAATACCATGGTCATACTTAATGGTAATGTGCAAGAGTTAATTCATTAACATTATCAAAAATACAAGAATGATTACCGTTTATGTTTTCTGGAATTTTCGGCAAATGTTAATGAGCTGTGGGTACTCTAATTTCATTTATTCTTTTGGGTATCTGACTTCTTAAGTGACACGGCCTGACATCCTCTCAGCCTACCTTTTGCTCCAGCCACTGCTGAGCAACCTGCTTCCTGCAGGTGTGACCTGACAGCACCTGGCTTCAGCTGTACCTCACCACTCGAGCCCTGTGCTGCGGGATTTCTCTGATACTTTCACATCCAGTGGGAAACTGCAGGAACCTGCCTGGCACCCACCCACTCACGGGGAGTATGAGGACAAGGCATGAGACCTGTGTGTTAGCCCAGGGACCTGGTGATCACAAAAGCTCCGGTCTTTTTTTTTTTTTTTTTTTTGAGACAGAGTCTCACTCTGTTGCCTGGGCTAAAGTGCCATGGCGTCAGCCTAGCTCACAGCAACCTCAAACTCCTGGGCTCAAGTAATCCTTCTGCTTCAGCCTCCCAAGTACCTGGGACTACAGGCATGCACCACCATGCCCAGCTAATTTTTTCTGTATATTTTTTAGTTGGCCAATTAATTTCTTTCTATTTTTAGTAGAGATGGGGTCTCGCTCTTGCTCAGGCTGGTTTCGAACTCCTGACCTTGAGCGATCCGCCCACCTTGGCCTCCCAGAGTGCTAGGATTACAGGTGTGATCACACCCGGCCAAGGTCTCCGTTCTTGGTTTAAGGTTATGCTAACTCCATCTTAAAATTGTTAATATCTTTTTTAACAAGAATCTGTAATTTCATTTTGCACTGAGCCTCACAAATCATGTAGCTAGTCCTGCATGCATCCATGGAACCATGATCCCTTGACCAAAGCAGAAACAGAATTTAGTGGGTGGATACCCCTCCTTCTTTTGCTTGAACAGATTGTTCTGAGACACACGGCTCCACAGACGAAGCCGTGACCAGCTGGAAAGACATCTGTATTGGCTTTCCCTCCCTCGCCGTCTGACTTCCCCAACCTCAGTACTCTTGCGCGGGATCACTTCCCAAAATGCACGCAACCCCTGTAACAGCTTTCGCTTTCTAGACGGAACCCAGGCTGAAACCGTGTTTCTTGAGTGCTTTCTATGTGCCAGACTTCTAGATTCCAGGGATTCAGAAGTAAACAAGACAGATTTTCTGTCATCATAAAGCTTACATTCCAAGTGACTAAGGCATAGTAAATAAGTGAACAAAAAAACAAGATCATCAAAGATGGTGATAAATGCCATGAAGAACACAAACAGGGCTCTGAGAGGGCAGGAAAGGAGGAAACATAGATACTGTCTATGAGGCCTGAATAATGAGGAGGAAAACACATGCATGGGCTGGAGAAGAATGTTCTAGTCAGAGGAGGTAGCACGTCCAAAGGCCCCAGGGTGAAAACGCACTTGGTGTGTTCTAGGGACAGGAAAGAAGGCGAAGTGATGTTCCCAGAGAACAAGGAGAAGATAGGTGGTAAAGATGCTACTGTAGATGGGAAGGCACCAGTCACACAGGGCCATGTTAGGGAGTTTGTATTTTATTCTAAGAGCTGTGGGAAGCTATTGAAAGGTTTTTTGGCGTATTTGTTTTTAAGAGACAGAATCTGTCTGTGTTGCCCAGGCTGGAGGGCAGTGGCTGCTCATAGGTGCCATCATAACAGCCTGGAATTCCTGGGCTCAAGCAATCCTCCCAGCCCATCCTCCAGAGTAGCTGGGACTACAGGTGCATGCCACCACTCGTAGCCACTGGAAGGTTTTTAATAAGGGAGTGCATCTTGATTTGTGTTGAGAATGGATTGGAGGGGAGCCATCTGGGATTGCAGGAGTCAAGGTGAGAGTTGCTGGTGGCTCAAAGGAAGGTGGGAGCGGGGAAGATGGAGAGAGGGAGGAATCCCATCAGGACAGGTGCACTAAGGAACTCTTGCTGCCGAGCCAAGGTCTGATCTTCTAGCCAAAGATGAATAAGCTTCCACTGGAGCAAAAAGCATGTTGGCAACCTCTCTCCTCAGTGCAGAGGCTGTGGCCGCTGCTGTATTAGTACCAAGGGAGGAAGGAAAGGGAAAAGTAGGGCTGAGGGAGAAGGAAGGGAAACAAGGGGAAGGAAGGTGGCAGATCACTGACCACAGCAAATCAGCTTGCCTCGGGCAAGCCCCTGGCCAGCACCCAGCACTGCAGAAACCCTCCTGACTGCAGCCCAGAGGCGTCTTCCACCCTATCCCAGCTCCGCTCTTCCTTCCCTTCCCCAAGCCTCATCCTCACTTCAACCTTGTTGTTCAGAAATGGAGAGAGGCTGGGTGTGGCGGCTCACGCCTGTAATCCTAGCACTCTGGGAGGCCGAGGCAGGCGGATTGCTCGAGGTCAGGAGTTCGAAACCAGCCAGAGCGAGACCTCGTCTCTACTAAAAATAGAAAGAAATTAATT